AAAATGGCAGAAAATTTGGGTACGGAAATAGAGAGTGGATATGATAGTCATCATGACATTATTACAATTTTTAATGAAACAATGGTTATTTACAGTTAGAAAAAAGCAAAATAAAAAATTTGACTACAAAAGAAAAATAGCTAGAGCTACGTTTAATCAAACACGAGACTATCTCAGACCTTTACTTAGAAAACTAAAATCAAAATCTTTACCTGATGATATATGCGATAGCCTTTGCGAAATAACAAGGCATTTATTAGATAGAAATTATATCATGGCAAGTGATGCATATTTACAAATGGCTATTGGAAATGCACCATGGCCAATGGAGTAACCATGGTTGGCATTCATGCACGTACAGGACGAGAAAAAATATTTTCAAAGAATGTTGCTCATGTGATGAATGATGAAACTCAAAGAAAATTATTCAAGGACTAAAAAGGTTAATGACAAAGTGTCAGGAATATTATCCCACAGATCCAAGTCGTTGTGTAGAATATGCTAAGTAATATATTTTAAATTATTTGTTTGGTAAATAAATTATATTTAATTTGAGGTTTCAATTAGAAAAAATCCGTTTTAAATTTTTCTTGGCAATATTACTTCAATACTCCTGAGGTTATAAAATGACTCAATATTTGTTTAATATGTACACATGTAACTATTATGTACTATGAACACTATCATGTAAACAAAAATCCCACATTTCTATACATTTCATAATAATTTTGATTTTGTATTTTTTATACTTATTAAAGTATATTATTTAGTTTTTTAAATATTTTATTATATATAGATATTTGTATTTTGTGTGTATCAAGATCAACATGTAATTAACTTTAAGCAAATCAGTCATGATTGAATTTTGGAAAGGCGGGCCCAGCGGATTTGGAAATCTAGGAAAAAACTGTGGTTTTTTGTCAGTTGAAAATCTGATATTTTCAACAAATCGACATTATGGGAATGAAAAAGTTTTTTAAAAAAAATCAATTTATAACCATTTTAAAAAATATAAGTATTTTCAAGAAACAATTTTTTTATAATTTTTTTAATATTCAAATTTTTCAAATGTTTTGAATATTTTCAAAAATTTAAAGAGCTTTTAAAATGGTTAATTACGATACGGGAACTTCTAGAATTTGAATAATGGCAGGAATAAATAAACATAATGCCATATGCACCATTATTTTATTTCAATGGTAAGAATAATAGTTATGTATCATTTTATTAGTCATAATGAGTATCACCTATAAAATGAGTTCATATATATTATAAATATAATTCATGATATGTTAATAACAATATATAATATATAATGTTATGAATAGTATGAATATTATGTATATTCTTATATTGTCCATGATGTTGTTACAAACTGTCAACTTATTACTCCTACACAATATAATAATAATGTTATTAATGCTTGTTTTCATAGATAAAAGAAGAGTATATTATTAATCATTATTAATATTCATGAAAAATTAACTTAAGTGTGCAACATACAATCCTTTGAAATTCACAGGAGGGACAACGTTGGTCAAAAATGCGCAAGATGGTACTACTGCATGTAGAACTAAAAGATATATTTTTGCTGAGTAGCTCTGTGGCGCAAATTTATTTTACGGATTGACTTTATTCAATTGATATATATGACCATGCGTTTATTTAAAAAAGTAGTTCTGCATGCTTTATTTTTTTGATGCAATAAAAAATAACTTAGTCAATTTTCGAAACGATTATGATTGATGCATAACATTCGTGACAGTTGATGCGCAAATGCATAAACCATATCAGTGAACCTTTTGAACTCGAAGTATTTTATGTCGCGTTTTTGTATGTGCTATAATTTACATGTTGATTATTGAATCTTGGTCTTCCATTTATTTGAAAATAAAATTCATATCTTAGTTATTTAATAATAATAACCTCAAAGTTTATGACAGCCAGTTTCATAACATTGCTAGTGGTAGAGATTATTAGTTAGGTTTTATCAGATAGTGCACCTCTTAATAATCTGACAGCAGAAAAAATAACAAAATATGTGAGTGGCCAATAACGTGTTTTATTGTGTAATAGCATTTTGAAAATTTGCAATTATTTTTATTTAGTTATAAATAGACTTGAATGCTTGAACACTAGACGAATTGGCATGTAGTTTGAATTTGTGTTGTAAACCTAAATTTTATATATTTTATAACTTTCATTTGTATGATTTTATATACGTATAATTTATTAACATACGCTACTACTATTAAATAAGTACGTTAATATTTATTTGCAGTTATTTAAAATCATGTTTGTTATAAAATGTGTAATTCTACCCATTAATCTTAATTATATACTCTTGCTATATCAGCAAGTTACCATTATATAAGAAAAATTATTTAACATAATATTTATAAATATTCACACTCTTATTATATCAAAATTCAATATAAAAAACATTGTACTAAATTAAAATTAATAGAATTTTTGCTCAGATTAACTTTTATTTGATTATTGGACTCAAATATTTGAATTTGATAAATATTATATATGAAATTTATCAAATTCAAATATTTGAATTTGATAAATATCATATATAATATTTATCAAATTGAAATATTTGAGTCCAATAATCAGGGCCGGATTTAGAATTTTGGCGCCCTGTGGCACTGACAAAAATGCCGCCCCATCCCAGTATTATTAGTAAAATAGTTTTTATATAAAAATTCATTTAAAATTGATTACGCATTACTTACTTTAAATAGTGGTGCTTGGCATCGCGTCTTAAGGCAAATTGCTGGAACTTCCCGGACCGATAATCAGAATTTAAAAAATATTTTTTAAACTTTGAAAAAATTTGACTTTTTTGAGTTTTTTAATATTTTCTTAAAGCAATCGCGTTGCTTTGGCTGCGTAGAGTCAAATGGTAGAAGCGCGTAAGCGCCGCGTCGCAGAATAACGGATAAACAATGTTACAGAACCCATAGAAATGTAAACAAAATTTATGCTTCTTATTAAAATATCCGATAATTGTGTCTACACTTTTGACCGCCAAATGTTTTTTCAAATATCGATTTTTTTTTATTGGATTACCGAAACCGCTAGAATTGCCTCCCACAAATTTAAGCAGTTCTTCATTTTGTCAATACATGTAAATTTTTTTAATGATATTAGACGGTCCGTTTCTCAAAAACTGAATTGTCATTTTTGGCATTTTGGCCCGTATTTTCTAAAAAATTGGACCTGTCTTGGCCAATAACTAATCAGCACGTCTCGTTATCAATAGGAATCATTATCATTCAAATAAAATTCAATTTTAATAAATGTAATACATAAAAGTTCATAATTTTCGAAAACATTCAAAATATAAAAAAAGGTTTTTTAAATTCAATTTTTTTCATTTTTCAAAAAATTTTAAAGCTTTTTAGAAAATGTAATTTTTAGCACGGAAAGTTTCGGTAACTTGTCTTAAGGCACAATGCCATGCGTCACTACTTTAATTTTTTTGGCACTATAAGCTTGGAAGTGCGCAAATTCTTCATATTAAGAGTGCTTGAGATCTGAAGAATATATTTTTTTTAAACTTACAGCTTATTTACGAATCTTTTAATTTGCTAAATTTTGCATTGAAATCGTATTATGTTTTGTCAATTATATTTCTTAAATAAAAAATGTTATTAAGAAGATGAGTTAATTATATTTTATAGAATTTTTTTTTCACTATCCAAATTTTGCCGCCCCCGAAAATTTGCCGCCCTGGGCAGCAGCCCCGACTGCCACTACTGTAAATCCAGCACTGCCAATAATCAAATAAAATTCAATCTGAGAAAAATTTCTATTAATTTTAATTTACACCAGTGTTTTTTTATTTGTAGCCAAATTTAAATATTATTATTTAATTTTGTTATTATATTAAATACTATTAGATTTTATAGATGCAAATTAAATATTTTTGCCTCGAAAAAAAAAACCGTTCGTTTTATATATAAGTTTCACCCATCTAATTAAATTTTAGCGCTGTGTTCTTATGTAAAGTATAATTCATAAATATGATGTAATTGCAAATATGCATAATATAAATACTTTAATAACATTTACAATGAGACATAACAATTAAATATTATAAAATTAATTACTTGATAAGTTTACAGATTACTTTAAATTTTTATATTTTTAAAAATATTTATATCTTTATATCTTCTAAATGATTATAATAGTAAATTAATATGTGCCTTTCCAATATAAAGAAATCTGCAAAACTGGTATACTTATATAATTTTTCATATATACAATGTGTCCAAGACTTTGACGTCAAGCCGAAACAGGGCTTGATTGACTGACCTTAACTAGCTTGAAAATAATTAGAAAAAAAATATTATCTCACGTTGTTTCGAAATTATGAGCTTTTAAGTACAACCTGGAGCTTCGGTGAAACAATTGCAATTTTTCGGTTAGTGTAGTTATTTTTACTAATTTTATTCATTTAATAATCAAAAACTAAAACTAGTTGTAAGTGGAATTCTGTCTTAAGGCAATTAGGGCATCGTGCCTTAAGGCAAATTGCTGGAACTTCCCGTAACAAAAATTATTTTTTTAAAAACGATTAACATTTTTGAAAAAAAATTACTTCGAAAAAATAAGATTTTTGAAACTATAAATTTGACAAAAAATTACTTTGAAAAAAAAATGTTTTCTTTATTTTGACATATGTTGGAAGATATGAACTTTTTTTCAAAGCAATCGTACTGCTTTAACTGCATAGAGACAAAATATAAAGCGCGTAAGCTGTCTAACGGGTAAACATTGGTACGGAACCCAAAGGAATGTAAACAAAATTCATACTTATTGTTAAAATCTCTATAAAATATCTGATAATTTGATGTGCGTATGTCTAATGATCATTTTTGACCGCCAAATGGCACTTTTTTTTACTTTTTTCGTTAGATTTTCGAAACCGCTAGATCTGCCCTTATGAAAATTTGATCAAATCTTCATTTTGTTAATACAAGTAAAATGTTTTTTGAATTATTAAAATCGGACGCTCCGTTCTCTTAAAAACTGAGGTACCGTTTTTGGCACTTTTTGCCCCATATCTTCGGAAAGGCTACACCTACCTCCGCCAAAAACTAATCAGCACGTCTCCTTATCAATACGGATCGAATGTTTTTTAAATTATTCAAATTGCTTCATCCGTGTTCCCGAAATCGTCGACGAAAATTTGTATCCGCACACACATACATACACGCACACACACACACATACACACACACACATACACCTACATCCATTTTTTCTAAGGTATGCCAAAATATTCAGAAACTTCTGAAACGTAAAGATATATAAAAATTTTCATTTTCGATTTTTTTGCGATTACTATAACTTACCCTACGGGAAGTTAACAATCAAAAACGATAATACAATTGCTCCAAGATTTCAAGAATTAAAATTTTTATTTAAATTTTTATAAATTCGGTTAACTTTGAGAAGCCTTTCCTTTAAAAAAATGTACTAAAATGTGCACAATTAGTTCACATACTTGCCATAAGCGCAACCTTCAACATGCGAGATAGAAACCCTAGACAATATTAGAATATGATGTATTCATATGAGAAAAACATTTTATCTGAATGAAATCAAATGCACTAGGAAAAACTAGTAGCCATTTTTAACTTCCCGAAGGAGAAGTTTGTTCTCATCAAAAAATCCGATTCGCTAATTTCATGTTTTCTCGACGTTTCAAGCCATTCTGAATCGAATGAGACCAAATTTGGAAAAAGTATGTATGTGTGTGTGCGTGTGCGTGAACAATTTTTTTTTGCCGCAAATCGGTGTTTTCTCAAAAATGGCTGGATCCGATTTCAAAATTTTAAAAATCATTTGATGCATCTCGATGAGGACTAGCGTTTATCAATTTTGCGCGACGATCAGCCAAGCCGTTTCTTTATAAATACCATAAAAGTGAAAAAAAAATCGTTCACGTTTTAGCTCGCAATTATGCATCGATTTTGAAAACTCATTCGAAAGATATTGCTTGGGAATCGACCTGATTAGTTTTTGGTAAAGATCGGCCGGGCCGTTTTCTTGCAATAGTGTTAAGAATGTTTTTTTCGACAATTCTCATAAATTTTTTTTGGACGGTAGATACTATAGTCGAGTAGATCATACTAAAATATCACGCCCTACCACAAGCCGTTTAATTTTAAAAATTTGTCAAAGTTTGCAAAAATTCGTATAGTTTATTTGGCGTTTGCCAATTTTAGAACTTTCATCGACGTTTTCTCAAAAACGGCTAGACCGATTTCAGAAATTTAAAAGTCAATCGATGTATTTTGATGTAGATTGTCTTTTCTTAGTTTTGTGCGACAAATTGCCGAGCTGTTTCTTTGTAATTTGGAAAAAAGTGTTAAACTTTTCGTCCACATTTAAGCTCATACTACCGAATCGATTCTAAAAAATCAAAAACTGTTCGAAAGACATTAGTTGGGAATGAAACTGATTAGTTTAAGGTGAAAATCTACCGAGCCGTTTTCTTGTAATTAACTGTTGAAAAAAGAATTTAAGCCGATTGTTATGGAACTTAATTTGGCGATATAAATTATGGTCTTATAGAACTTACTGAATTATTACGACAAGTAGTTTAATTTTAAAAATTCATAAAAGTTTGAGAAAATGAGTAGTTTTTTTGACGTTTGTTAAAATGAAAATTAGACGATTTACTTGGTATAACGATAGAGTGTTCGTTCGTTTTCAATGATGTGTAATAAATCCACTCGGAATACTCTTAATCACTCATAAATTAATTTATATTTTATTGATTAAGTCGATTATTATCACATATTGGGAAGTTCATGTAATTTGCCTCAAGGCAAAATACCAATGCCAACTAGTTAGGTTTTTATTTTTTTTACTCGAAATTTGTCAATAATAAAATTATCAAGTGTTTTACAATTTTGAATGAATGTTCTAACTTTTGATGAAACCTTCCAACACCCCAAAAAAATGTCTCTCCAAGTCGACCGATTAAAATGCTTTTAAATTTAATGTTCAACAAAATGT